AGAGCATCTCGTGCTGCTGTTGTGTGCTGCGTTGAAGTGTATATCGTGCTGATGTATGCTGCGTGCGAGTCTATTGGCCCTTTCACACGTAGCAACTTTTCCGGTCGCCGGCGACGGCAACTGTCGCCGGCGATCGCCAGCGACCGGGGTCAGTCGCCGGCGATCGCCAGCGACCGGGGTCAGTCGCCGGCAACTCCGCAGTTGTCGATATCAGCTGACCAGTCGCCGGGGTGTGACGTAGCAGTCGTGTCAGCCAATCATTGAAGAGTTGTCGGCGTTGCCGAGAAAGTTCAATTTTTCCAACATTTTGAAGTCGCCGGCGACTGTACTAGCCAGCCGCCGCTCAGCTGTCACGTGACCCGCTTGACCTTGAGTTGGCACCAGATATTGCGCTGCTGATACATGCAGCGGCGCAGCTTATTTTACTGCATTATTCAAGGTACTAAATATTTGGACATGTTTTGCAGGATGATAACTACCGTCTAGGTAATATTGGAATAATATTTATTAGATCTACGAGTATTATTGAAACAATACATAATATCAATGAAAATACAATCAAACTGCGATTCTTCTACATTGGAATTCAATGCACTCAAGCATAAAACTGAAAAGTGATGTGTACTTGCAGTTCCTCCATTTTTCCTAACGCATCAGCCAAGACTACGAGTGCTGCAGATTTTGCTCACCTGTCTTGTTTATTCAACTACAACCCTGTTCTCAATAAATGAATAACTTCGCTGTAACGACATTAGCATTGAAGGAATGGTTGGTGGTAAGCATGGGACAATCACAGTGATTTGTGGTCACACATTTGAACCGTGCTTTGTATATGAAAAACAGAAAAAAGGCATTCTAGAAATGTAGCAGAAATTCAAATGCCAGAAACGGACCTGAGGAACGGCGAAGCCCACCACCCACATAAAACACAGGCTTTCATTATGTCAAAAACAGATGCTGTATTATCTAAAGCGCTGGATTGGGGAACACAAGTGTACCCCCCCCCCCCCCTTATAACAAAATGCATTTTTCCACACAGTGGATATCACTAAACATGGCGAGGTGACAGTATATGACACCATACATAAAAATGCAGCACGCGCGGACACGGGGCAAAGACGGTGGCACAATATGCCGATACCCAAGAAGACACAAGCCTAGGTCAAAGGTGACAATACTGTGACAGAAATCTTAAAATCAGCCTGGACACAGCTCACTCTTCATGACCGTTTTTATCGAAAATAGACCAACAAAACACCAAGGCTCCTTCGTCCAAAACTCGACATGCCGCTCCAAAGGCCTTGCAAAACAGCGCACACCAACAACGCATAATAGCCAGCAACGCACACGACAGGATTTTCGAGGCCCGAGTCGTCAGCCGCCGCCGCCGCCGCCACCTCCCGGCAGCTGATTGCTGAGTGCCTTGCTCCGGCTTGCCGCACCGCCCACCGCCGCCGATCGTGGCGACCTCTTTACTCTGGCAGAATCGACCCTACCGAGCGGCGACACCATTCAGAAGCAAAATGACAAATGAATTCACTGCACTTATGTCAGAAAATCGAATGCACATGCCATGGTCACATGCGGTGCCGTCCACGGGGCCGGCAGAAGCTGCACACTGTCACCGAACACCACCTGCACCTTGGACGCAGTATGTGAGGGCTTGGCGGACGCGCGCCGCCTCGCGTGCGGTATTGGCATCAAGGCCCGGACACGAGGGAGCACACTCGGCGCAATCAGAGCACACCGTCCGGGGCCGTCAGTGTCGATCTCCTGACCTCACAGAAAGTTGTGCAGCACACAGGTGAACGCCGTCAGTGTGGTGACTGGTGCGCAGCACACCGTCCCACGGAAGATCGTCTGTGGGCCGTGGTGCAGATGCTGTCTCTAGGCAGAGTCAACGGCAGAAGTTGAACATTCAGCTGCTAGACTCCTTTTCGGGTCAGCAATGCCGTCGAGTTGGCCATCAGGTGGTGTTGCAGAATCATCAGGTACTCTTGATCAGGTACATCAGGTACAGAACCTCTTGACTCATCAGGTAACGCTGTGACTTGTCTGCCAGGCACAGAGGGCGGACATGTCAGAACATACTTCAAATACATTTTTAAAAATCATTTTTTAACCAAAAGCTCTGCAAATTAGGAAGCCTGGAATAGGCTATTGCTTAGCATCATAAAAACTACCCAAATACCCAAATCAGGTTAGGCTTGGTTTACCCAAATACCCAAATCAGGTTAGGTTTGGTTTTTACACTTCAGGCTAAAATGAGAACTATCTTAGCATCATTATCCTTGATGTAGCATTGTTGATGCTTTTTGTCTTGTGCAATTGGCAATCAGTATTCAGTGACACAGAATTGGAATTTGTGGTTCAGAAACCTAGCATTATTTGAAATAATAGCATTTTAGCAGTGCTCATTCTTTTTGAAAGCAAGTGTATTTTTAAATATAATTTTCTAGGTAATTCATTTCCTACTGAATATGGTTATGAGACCATTGTTACTAATTTTGGTATTATTAAGGCAGCTGTAGCATGAGTGGGCATATGCTGTAGAGACTGGAGTGATTAAAGTCACTAGAGGCTTGAGGGTTTTTTTTTTGACATTATGCAGCAGCCTGGGGAGATATGCAGAGGCAAGTCTAGGCACCACCAGAAGGGGGACATTCAGTCAGCACAACACACAGCGGGCACAAGGGGAGAAGATTGTAAAAACTATTGCCTGGATTCACCTCTGTGGACATCCTCAGGCATGCCTCTGTGGACATCTCCAGGCTGCTGCATGTAAAAAAGTATCAAGCCTCTAGTGACTTTTTCCACACTGCAGCAAATGCCCACTTATTCTTGGTCTGCTCTACCTTCCTCCAATTATGAGTTTTGTGTGAAAACAACATTTTTACATTGGTGGAGCTTGTGTGCGCATGGTACACATAAGCCATGACGGCAGCATTGCTGCAATGAATAGGAAACAGCTCCAGGGCCAAAATACATACCACCTAATACCTTGCCAAAATACATGACATACCTACCATCTACTGTGCATAATGCAATTATTTATGTACTAATAAGCCATGGATTATCATTTGCCATGTGAGCACGCACACACATGCGAACCCAATGCGGATTAAGTTTGGCCTGGGTTGTTTATCCATGGTACCAAGGAAAACTCCAGCAGAAACAATAACAAAATTGCAAAGCTACCTGTTTGATTTTGATCATGCTAATTAATGAGCAGCAATATAATATTTTGTTGCTATCAAATATTTCCTTGTGTCGCACGAATACGTAGGCAAATAGCTGACTGATGTGAGTGATGGGTAGGCACTTTGTCCTCAAGGGCACTGATACTGAATATAAACCATGTTCTTGTGACACAACAAGCAAGTTTTCATTACCTTATGAAACTAGTGTCAATTTCAATGTCATTAAAATATTCAATTTTGATGAAAAAATACATATTCATCACAAATAAAAATCATGGGTGATCATGGGCAAGTGCGCCACAAATGACATAAACCCTCCAATATTGTCGAATCAAGCTTAAATTCAAGTCACAACAGCTTCACGACAGGCAAACTACAAGATAATAATCCCTATGCTACTGTGCAACAAATTTAAGGTAGCCACACCAACCAAAAATGCATCACAAATCACCTAAACCACTCACCAAGGACAAAACTGTCATGGCGGCGTCCGCTGCTCGAGAAGAGTCGCCGGCGACTGGCCTGTGACGCGGATCTGACGTCACCAGTTGCTGGCGATTGCCCGGCCCACAGCCCGGCCGTGGCCCGGCGATCGCCACCGACTTGCTTACGTCATACCTACGTCACACACGATCGTTGGCTGGCGGTCGCTGGCGGTCGCCGGCGACTGCTGCTGTCGCCGGCGACTGAAAAGTTGCTACGTGTGAAAGGGCCATATATCGTACTGCTGTCGCGTGCTCCGTTAGTCTCTCCAGTCAGAAGTTTGAAGGAGACCCGTACAAGTCAGTGGAAGGTTTCGACTTTCGCACAGGAAGGGCGCTATCGCACTCGCCCGTTTCTTGCCCGGAAAAGAATCCATCTGGCAAAAATCCAGAGCTGGGCGCGTTCCTCGATTTTCGGTAGTGCGTTAGCGTTCCTGCGTTCCTCCGGCCGCGGTTAGTGCGTTCCTGGAATAGCGTTCCTCAATTTTTTTTTTCGCTCGGTGCGTTAGCGTTCCTGCGTCCCAAACTGTTAACCCGTATTGTATTCTGGGTCTACCAAGCAGCAAATCATACCAAAATCAGTGCAACGCAACACTGTAGCGGACAAAGTAGGCAAATCGCGCCAGTCCAACACTACAGGCGTGTTCTTCACAACCGAAGTCGTGGACAAAGAAATACCGCCGAACCACGCGGCGCGGGCCCAACCAAACACGGGGCGAATCGATCACAGAATACCCAGAATGGCGACGCGGGGCCGAAAAGCAACTCGACACCTCTTTTCCGAATCGAATATCTGAAATACGTTTTACCAATATCATCCGTAGGGTTTTCAACAAAATACGACCTGCTTAAAAACAATAGTTAAGTTGAAAGATGTATCTAAGTAAAAGTTATCATATTCCTTTACACATTTGATGCCTGAAACCGAATCGAATAGTGAACATCACCACTAAATCTAAACAAGCCTTCCTCGATTCGACCGACAAGTGGCGCCTCTACCGGCAAACACACGTACTCGAGATTCAAACATTTGACACAGAGGTCATTGGCAGCAATATGATTTTTCGGGTGGTTCCGCAAGAACGCAGGAACGCTTCAAAATTTCGGGTGGTGCGTTCCTCTTACTTGCGTTCCTTTGAAAAACTTTGCGTTCCTGCGTTCTTGCGTTCCTAAAAAGGGCGGTGCGTACGTACGGAAGAACGCAGGAACGCACTAAAGGAACGCACTTGCCCAGCTCTGCAAAAATCCATGTAAAAATCGGGACAGATTTAAGTACAACTGGACAGGCGGCGTCTTTCTGCCGTCGAACACACGTTGGTTGCGTCTGAGACGTGTATTTCCAGTTGTGTAGGTGACGGGGCAGGTTCCGATCGTTTGGTTCTGTCACCCGCCAGTCGTCACCACGGGTAGCCTGCTGAGCGCATACCTGACTGAATAGTGAATACGCTCAGCGCAGCGCGAGCGGCTACCGTGACATCAGCTTCAGACACACATAGACCGGGGGCAGTACACCAAACAGCACTAACAAATTCATTGGACACGAAAAAATGAATCAAACGGCTCTGTAAACTGACGGGACAGTCGGACCCAGCGATCAGCGTCCGGGTCGGAGGGGAAGCAGCGCCCAGTATCCCGCTGTAATATTCCCGTAAAACTTACAGCAGTGGATGGAATAGGGAGTTGGTCAGGTATCCTCTGGCGGCAGACCGGTCGACGAGGGCTCCACACAGGCCACAGGTCACAGGACGCGCCGCTGAGTGGCTCCACACACACCACACGCGGCCGCAGCTGGTGACAGTGGCACGGACGGGCCGCTGAGATCCCGTACAGAGACGCTGGTCGGCGTGCCGTGACCAGTGTCGACACCGGCCACTCGGGGGTCCGGACTCGCCCCCCGCCGCCGGGGACTGGGGACGCTGTCCCGTCCCCCTTCCCTCAGTGGCGGGGGGGTCTCTCCCTCAGTGGCGGTCCTGACTCCCTCAGTGGCGGGACTCGCCCCCTGCCGCCGGGGACTGGGCACGCTGTCCCGTCCCTCCCTCGGCTGTGGCAGAACTCGCCTCCCTCAGTGGCAGGACTCGCCTCGCTCAGTGGTCCGCGCCGTCCGTCTCCAGCAGCGCGGCCGGCGGCGGCGGCTCCGTCTCGTCGGCCGCGCCCGCCGCCGGCAGCATCTCCTGAACGGAGGCGGCCACCCACTTGGAGCTGATGTCGCCGCTGTCGGCCATCAGCTGGTCAGCGGCGCCGGCATCTGCGGCCGCCTCAGCCTCGCTCAGCATCACCTGGGCACGCCGGAGGGGGCCAGGGCCGGTTAGAGGGTTTGTGATATGGACGATGGGGTTAACCTCACAGCCGCCAGGGATCCGCTGACACGACGGCGGAGTTTTATAGCCGCCGGGGGATCAGCTAAGATAAGGACCCCAACGGTGACGGAGCCGGCCGGCGCTCCCTGGTTGACCGAGCAGCCGCAGCCGGCACAGCCGGTCCACACTAACCACTCGGCTAGAGGTGCAGATTACGCTGCTGAGTTCTGAGGTTCACCGGTTCCCTGCCCCCGGCCGGGCTACACCCGTCCCTGCCGGGTTGTACCACGGAGGTTCGCGCGCGCCGGGAGCGGCGACCCACCTGGACGACGCGTCCGTCGGCGTCCGCCTGCTGCAGCGCTGGCACGTAGGTGAGGCTGCCGTCCTCCTCCTCCCGGAGCACGATGACGCCCTCGCCGTCGACCGGCAGCGCGCCGGGGGTCTCTGCCCCCTCCCCGTCCCCCTCCTCCTCCTCCTCCTCCGGCTCCTCCCCGTCCTGGAGGCGACAGACGCAGCGGGAGCGTCAGCAGCAGGCCAGCGGCGCAGCCACCGCAGCGGGAGCGGCAGCAACAGCGGCGCAGCCACCGCAGCGGGAGCGGCAGCAACAGCGGCGCAGCCACCGCAGCGGGAGCGGCAGCAACAGCGGCGCAGCCACCGCAGCGGGAGCGGCAGCAACAGCGGCGCAGCCACCGCAGCGGGAGCGCCAGCACCGTCAACAGCGGCCCGAACACCGCGAACGGGTGTGTTAGCAACGCCAACAGCGGCGCGTCACACGGTAAACGCCGGCATTTAGCACCACAAACACGTGTACCGCGGCGCTGCGCACCGCAAACAGCAGTCATGCGCCCCAGAGCATGACTCCGTTCCGTGATAATATCCGGTCCTCTCCGACCCTCCCTGAGCTGTTGCTCGGTCGTGTCTCTCCCTCCCTGAGCTGTTGCTCGGTCGTGTCTCTCCCTCCCTGAGCTGTTGCTCGGTCGTGTCTCTCCCTCCCTGAGCTGTTGCTCGGTCGTGTCTCTCCCTCCCTGAGCTGTTGCTCGGTCGTGTCTCTCCCTCCCCGAGGCTGCTGTTGTTCGGTCGCGTCTCTCCCTCCCTGAGCTGTTGCTCGGTCGTGTCTCTCCCTCCCTGAGCTGTTGCTCGGTCGTGTCTCTCCCTCCCTGAGCTGTCGCTAAGTCGTGTCTCTCCCTCCCTGAGCTGTTGCTCGGTCGTGTCTCTCCCTCCCTGAGCTGTTGCTCGGTCGTGTCTCTCCCTCCCTGAGCTGTTGCTCGGTCGTGTCTCTCCCTCCTTGAGCTGTTGCTCGGTCGTGTCTCTCCCCCTCCCTGAGCTGTTGCTCGGTCGTGTTTCTCCCTCCCTGAGCTGTTGCTCGGTCGTGTCTCTCCCTCCCTGAGCTGTTGCTCGGTCGTGTCTCTCCCTCCCTGAGCTGTTGCTCGGTCGTGTCTCTCCCTCCCTGAGCTGTTGCTCGGTCGTGTCTCTCCCTCCCTGAGCTGTTGCTCGGTCGTGTCTCTCCCTCCCTGAGCTGTTGCTCGGTCGTGTTTCTCCCTCCCTGAGCTGTTGCTCGGTCGTGTCTCTCCCTCCCTGAGCTGTTGCTCGGTCGTGTCTCTCCCTCCCTGAGCTGTTGCTCGGTCGTGTCTCTCCCTCCCTGAGCTGTTGCTCGGTCGTGTCTCTCCCTCCCTGAGCTGTTGCTCGGTCGTGTCTCTCCCTCCCTGAGCTGTTGCTCGGTCGTGTCTCTCCCTCCCTGAGCTGTTGCTCGGTCGTGTCTCTCCCTCCCTGAGCTGTTGCTCGGTCGTGTCTCTCCCTCCCTGAGCTGTTGCTCGGTCGTGTCTCTCCCTCCCTGAGCTGTTGCTCGGTCGTGTCTCTCCCTCCCTGAGCTGTTGCTCGGTCGTGTCTCTCCCTCCCTGAGCTGTTGCTCGGTAGTGTCTCTCCCTCCCTGAGCTGTTGCTCGGTCGTGTCTCTCCCTCCCTGAGCTGTTGCTCGGTCGTGTCTCTCCCTCCCTGACTAAGCCGCCCGGCCTGCGCCCGTCTCCCGTTCCCCGGACGTACCCATTCGGGCAGGGCGTGTGCCTCCAGGTGTTTGGTCAGCGTCTTGGCCAGCTTGAAGCGCTTGCTGCACAGGTGGCATTGGTGCGGCTTCTCATTGCTGTGGGAGCGCTCGTGGAGGCGCAGGTTGCTGGCGTTGATGAACCTGCCGGACGGGGAGGGGGGGGGGAGGGGTTACAGCCGACCCTGGCCGCGCACAGTTATGCGGTTTACATAGCATATTTGACGAGACTCTAGCTCGTTAATTTGGCGATAATTTCGTTGCAGTTGTCTTCAAATATTTAGAGGGGATCATTTTGTAAATTGTTAAGCACCATTGGCATCTTTTGCAACAGCACGGACGGAGATATAAGCTTGCAACAAACCCTATGTAAACGCGTCTAGTGTCTCCCAGATGGGGAGGGGCGGCCAGGAGGCACCGTGACAGCCACCCAGCTGTCCGACAGGACACACACGGCCAAAGCGCGCTGCATAGAACCCGTTCATGACAGAGACCGAATGACAGTGCAGCCATCACAGCATACCTACCAGGCGAGACTGGTAGTGCCCGGACATGGTGCGTGCCTTTCGCAATGAGACATACCGCGCCGGTCCAGGGTATGTATTATGTAAAGGAAATCTGACCTTTTGAAGCAGACGGAGCACGCGGGAAACTTGTTCTTGGGGTCCAGTTCCGGCGGCTCTTTACCCAGCAGCAGCGCCTCATTCACGTGCTGAACCTGGACAAAAGGCAGCAGCCGTCACTTCATTGGAGTCAGAGCGATGATACATTTCAGGCACATTTAGTATAATAAAGGCTCGAAGTGTGTGTACGTTAGCCGTCTGTCCGTCCCCGCTCCGTGTCGTCCGTTCAGCAGGGACCGCGGTGGGCAGTGACAGTTAGCTGACCTGGTGCATCTTGAAGCGGCTCCGATTGTAGAAGCTCAGCGAACACACCGAACACTTGAACGGCTTCTGGCCCGTGTGGATACGCTCGTGCTCGGTCAGGTGCGACTTCTGCTTGAAGCCCTTCTGGCAGACGGAGCAGACGAACGGCCGCTGGTTGGTGTGCACACGCACGTGGTCGTCGAACGCGCCGCGCGCCGCGAACTTCTGTGGGCGGGGCGGTCGGGCGGCGCTCAGGGCACAGACACACAGTCGACAGGGCCCACGGCAGCGGCAGGGGGACTGTCAGCGGCCGGACGGACACGGCCAGCCGCCGGCGCTCACCTTGTCGCAGAGGGTGCAGGCGAACCGTGCGGCCGCGCTGGGCCGGCCGCCGGAGCGCGCCGCCGGGCGGCACAGCCGTCCCTGGCGCTGCCACTGCTGCCGGTGCCGCTCCAGACCGGCCTCGTGGCGGAACCTGTGGGCACCACCGCGGGACGGAGCTGTGAGCAGACAGGGAGGGGCCTGTGAGCAGCACCGCGGGACGGAGCTGTGAGCAGACACAGGGAGGGAGCTGTGGGCAGCACCGCGGGAGGGGCCTGTGAGCAGACACAGGGAGGGACTTGTGAGCACCACCCACAGGGAGGGGCATGTAAGCAAAATATCCCACGAAAGGACTTTGTAGACGATAGCTCTGTCCGCACATACCACAGGGCGCCTGACATCCAATCCCACGGAGAGCCTTGTAAGCAGAGCTCACCGAGGAACCTTTTCGACAAACAAACGGGAGATCTGGCCAACTCACCAGACCGGAGACTCACTCTGCATCACGGCTGGAGGACTCGTGGCGCTGCTGAACAACAAACTTACCTTATTCTTCTCGGCAGACCGACTGACAAATGTTTTGCAAGAACGTCACCATGCAATGCCAAAAATGTCCGCTGTAGTCTCGGAGTGGGGCTGGGCCGAGTCGCTCCCGCGGCGGTACTTACACCCCCGTTTGTAGTTGGGGCAGCTGTGTCTGGCGGGCCGGGCGGTACTTACACCCGTTTGCAGGTGGGGCAGCTGTGTCTGGCGGTACTTACACCCGTTTGCAGGTGGGGCAGCTGTGTTTGGCGGGCCGGGCGGTACTTACACCCGTTTGCAGGTGGGGCAGCTGTGTCTGGCGGGCGGTACTTACACCCGTTTGCAGGGGGCAGCTGTGTCTGGCGGGCGGTACTTACACCCGTTTGCAGGTGGGGCAGCTGTGTTTGGTGGGCGGTACTTAAACCCGTTTGCAGGTGGGGCAGCTGTGTTTGGTGGGCGGTACTTAAACCCGTTTGCAGGTGGGGCAGCTGTGTCTGGCGGACCGGGCGGTACTTACACCCGTTTGCAGGTGGGGCAGCTGTGTCTGGCGGGCGGTACTTACACCCGTTTGCAGGGGGCAGCTGTGTCTGGCGGGCGGTACTTACACCCGTTTGCAGGTGGGGCAGCTGTGTTTGGTGGGCGGTACTTAAACCCGTTTGCAGGTGGGGCAGCTGTGTTTGGTGGGCGGTACTTAAACCCGTTTGCAGGTGGGGCAGCTGTGTTTGGCGGGCCGGGCGGTACTTACACCCGTTTGCAGGTGGGGCAGCTGTGTCTGGCGGGCGGTACTTACACCCGTTTGCAGGTGGGGCAGCTGTGTCTGGCGGGCGGTACTTACACCCGTTTGCAGGTGGGGCAGCTGTGTTTGGTGGGCGGTACTTAAACCCGTTTGCAGGTGGGGCAGCTGTGTTTGGTGGGCGGTACTTAAACCCGTTTGCAGGTGGGGCAGCTGTGTTTGGCGGACCGGGCGGTACTTACACCCGTTTGCAGGTGGGGCAGCTGTGTCTGGCGGGCCGCGCGGTACTTACACCCGTTTGCATGTGGGGCAGCTGTGTCTGGCGGTACTTACACCCGTTTGCAGGTGGGGCAGCTGTGTCTGACGGGCGGTACTTACACCCGTTTGCAGGTGGGGCAGCTGTGTCTGGCGGTACTTACACCCGTTTGCAGGTGGGGCAGCTGTGTCTGGCGGGCCGGGCGGTACTCACACCGGTTTGCAGGTGGGGCAGCTGTGTCTGGCGGGCGGTACTCACACCCGTTTGCAGGTGGGGCAGCTGTGTTTGGCGGGCGGTACTTACACCCGTTTGCAGGTGGGGCAGCTGTGTCTGGCGGGCGGTACTTACACCCGTTTGCAGGAGGGGCAGCTGTGTCTGGCGGGCGGTACTTACGCCCGTTTGCAGGTGGGGCAGCTGTGTCTGGCGGTACTTACACCCGTTTGCAGGTGGGGCAGCTGTGTCTGGCGGTACTTACACCCGTTTGCAGGTGGGGCAGCTGTGTCTGGCGGGCGGTACTTACACCCGTTTGCAGGTGGGACAGCTGTGTCTGGCGGGCGGTACTTACACTCGTTTGCAGGTGGGGCAGCTGTGTCTGGCGGGCTGCGCGGGCGGCACTTACACCCGTTCGCAGGTGGGGCAGCTGTGTCTGGCGGGCGGTACTTACACCCGTTTGCAGGTGGGGCAGCTTGTGTTTGGCGGGCGGTACTTACACCCGTTTGCAGGTGGGACAGCTGTGTTTGGCGGGCGGTACTTACACCCGTTTGCAGGTGGGGCAGCTGTGTTTGGCGGGCGGTACTTACAACCGTTTGCAGGTGGGGCAGCTGTGTCTGGCGGGCGGTACTTACGCCCGTTTGCAGGTGGGGCAGCTGTGTCTGGCGGGCGGTACTTACACCCGTTTGCAGGTGGGGCAGCTGTGTCTGGCGGTACTTACACCCGTTTGCAGGTGGGGCAGCTGTGTCTGGCGGGCGGTACTTACACCCGTTTGCAGGTGGGGCAGCTGTGTCTGGCGGGCGGTACTTACACCCGTTTGCAGGTGGGGCAGCTGTGTCTGGCGGTACTTACACCCGTTTGCAGGAGGGACAGCTGTGTTTGGCGGGCCGCGCGGCGGCGTCGTGCAGCAGCTGCGCGTGCCTCCGCAGGTGGACGCGCTGTCGGAACGCGGCGCCGCACTCGGCCACCGGACACGCGTAGGGCCGCTCGTCCGTGTGGGTGCGACGGTGGACCTGCGGCGGCCGCGGCACTAATCACAGAGAGCCAGAGCGACAAACAACGGTCACAGAGAGCGGCACCGGTCACAGAGCGACACTGGTCACAGAGAGCGGCACTGGTCACAGACACGGTGCGGGCGGTGTCTGGGGCTGAGGACGGTGTTTGGGGTGGGTACGGACGGTGGGTACACACTTACACAGTACACATGGTGTCTGGGGTGGGGTAGGACGGTGTCTGGGGTACGGACAGCGTTTGGGGTACGGACAGTGTCTAGGGTACGGACAGAGTACTCTGTGAGGTATGAAGGCCTGCGCGCACCTTGAGTGTCTCCTTGTTGCAGCACATTTTGCCGCAGTAGCCGCACTGCACGCTACTGGCCGTGGCGCGCGCCGGCCGGTCGCTGGCCGCGGCCGACCTTAGCCGCCGCTCCTGTCGGAGACACAAACACACACCGGCACCTCAGCAGTCAGCTAACAGCGGGCACAGTGTGGGCGTCCACTGAGACCGGGCACCACCAGTCTCGGCCACCGTCTGAGCACCTGTCTACCACACAACTGTGGCTACTCCCCGCCCGCCAGTCGGTACTCCCCGCCCGCCAGTCGGTACTCCCCGCCCGCCTGTCGGTACTCCCCGCCCGCCAGTCGGTACTGCTGTCGCTACTCCCCGCCCGCCTGTCGGTACTGCTGTCGGTACTCCCCGCCCGCCAGTCGGTACTGCTGTCGCTACTCCCCGCCCGCCTGTCGGTACTCCCCGCCCACCTGTTTGGTCTCTGCGCCGCTGTCGGCTCCGCTGCTGTCGCCGGCTGGCTCCGCTGTCGGCTCCCAGTCGTCGGGCTCCGACTCCGCCGCTGCTCCCGTGGCGTCCTCCCGCTGCGGACTCGGCGCTCCGCCGGCGGCCGGAGCCGTCGGGACCGGTCCGAACAGCCGGTCCGGGACGCCGGCGGTGGCCGCCAGACCGGCGGGAGACGCCGCGCCGAACAGCCGCTCCGGAACACCGGCCCTGGCCAACACGGCCGAGCGGCCGCGGCCGGCCACCGCGCCCCCGGCAACGGGCGGCTGCTCCTGGACGCAGGAGGCGGTAGCGGGTCACACAGGAGTACCACAACACCCTTGCGTGCGTGCTCACTACTCACGTGCTGCGCGCTACTGCGCTGGCTCGTTTGTCAACTCGTTTGTCGGCTGCGCTGGCTGGCTCATTTGTCACCTAAAAGGCATTGTACTGAGTCAAAGAGGTCACTGTGCATCTTTTAGGGCCTTCAGGCACACGATTTCAGTTTGTTATGTCCGTGACACCGCAGAATCTTTGGCACTGGACGACCTGGTCCACGGAACTCACCAGAGTATGGACGACCCGAACATTCACCTCCTACCGGCAGACAAAAACACACACACAGCCATCAGAGGTGTCAGCCCCCGGCGGGTCAGGGCGCACCACTACTGGAGGACCCCTGCACTGCGCCAGTGAGCACCGAGCAAAATGGAAAAGCGGAAGGAAAATACAGCGATATATCCGTCGGACGTGTCACAACACACAAACACCCCCGACCGCCCCTGATACACCTTTGAGTGGACCACCATAGTGGCCCACAGTTGTTGGCAGAGGCCGTATAACTACAGTCACAGAGCGGTACGACTGGTCGGCTCTCCGCGCCGTCCCAGGCCATCCGGCCATCAGCCATCTCCCCAGCCATCTCCTATCTCCCTGGAACCGGTCGGTTCCAGGGTTCCCATACACCTCATCATCTCCGCAGCAGCTCACCGCGGCTGTCGCGGCAGCAGCAGCGCGTACCTCGGGCGGCACGCCATCCCCTGTTACCCCGCGGCAGCAGCAGCGCGTACCTCGGGCCGCACGACATCCCCGCGGCGGCAGAGCCTACCTTTGGCGGCGCGCCGCCGGGCCCGGCCGGCGCCGGCGGCGGCTCGTCCTCCTGTCGCGCCACCTGCGCCGTCTTACGGGGCCGGCCTCGGCGTCGGCGCGGTGTGTCCGACGGCGCAGACTCGGCGGCCTCCCCGACCGCGGCCGGCGCCGGGGTCCGGCTGCCGCCCAACGCCGGCGCCGGGGCCCGGCTGCCGCCCAACGCCCGCTCCGGGGCCCGGCTGCCGCCAGCCGCGGGTTCGGCGCGAGTTCGGAGCTCCTTGAACTCGGGACGGCCTGCGCACACAATTAGTGGATCGATCACTGGAACTGCAGCCTGCCTTACCTCCTGAGCATATTATGCCATTATCTGAGGTAGCCGGCGGCCAGTGCACTACATACACCGATGTCGCGGACTCGCGGCTAAACTAATGACTATGGCTTCTGCAAATAGGTATCAGTTAGCCTATTAGTTCTGCCAACAGGCCAAAGGAAGTTAGTTGATGATCACAGGTGTCAGTAGGTAGAGCTGTGACTATTTATCTAGATGAATCTGCTAAGCAGAATGTACTAAAAAACATTAAAAGTTATATGTAAATCTTCCAAGTGACTTAGTAGCAACTTTAGGACTATAATGTGCACAAAGCATGCTTGAAGGTGTCATATTGTACTTAGAGTGCAGACACCCTAATATGCTAGGATGTCACCAGCTGCTGCCCAGTGACAAGACAGGACCCTAATGTACCGGCCTTTGCACTCTCTCACCCCTGTTTGTATCAGTCTGCTCAGTCAGCCAACTGCTTGTTATGACAGCACCCCTGTCCCCTGAGCATGCCTTTATGTGCCTGTATGCATATGATTATGCACCCTATAGCCTCTATCAACTTACACCATGCTGAATCATTTGGATACATCTGCATTATTATGCCAAAAGGAAAATAAAGGGCAGGCTTTAACACCATCAATGCTTTTAGTAACTATGGCAATGAAAGATAAACTTACTGTGAAGCATGAGCTTAGATGCAAGCTCAAAGAACTCTTCATTTTCTTCTGGTGGTAGGATACCATAGTATACATATCTCATGAAGTCCTTCAGGCAATCAAGGCTTGTATCCAGAATCAGCATGGGATGATCACTCTTGTTTTCATGCAGAAGATTCTGTCAAACACATATTTTACCAGTAAAACGCCTTTTGGGCGAAGAACGAGCGAGCGAGATAGTGAGCCCTGCACGTGTAGAAGGGCGAGAGGGTACTTCCAACGGGCTTGTGCAAAGCACCCTTCTAACCGGTCGCTAACGGTGTACCAAATTTGAACGCAATCGGCCCAGCCGTTCCTGAGATCTGGAAGCGGCATTCTGCACGTGCGCACGTGCAAACGGGGTCCAAAATGACTTTTGTACGGCACCCTACTAACCGGTCCCCAACCGTGTACCAAATTTGAGCGCAATCGGCCCAGCCGTTCTCGAGATCTGGAAACGCCCCCTGCACGTGCGCACGTGCAGTAGCACCCTAACCGCAACACATGGGAATGCATTGCCTGGTGGGTGCCTACCTGTATGCTAAGTTTCAGCGAAATCGCCCCAGTAATTACCGAGTTACTGAAATGGGAACAAATTTAGCACCTCTTATTGTTGTATTTTGCACGTGCAGTGGGGGTCACTCCCATAGATGAAGAGTATCCGACCTTTGGTAGAAGGGATGCAGCTACCCTATAAAAATGACCGCAAGACAATCGCTCAAGCAGCTGCTGAGATATGGGCCTCTCAAAATCATTACTTTTGCAAAACTGCTTGAACACCCTCGACTTTTCACGTGGCACGTGCCACGGCGGTCACTGAGATGTATCAAAAGTAGTCAATTACGGGGTAGAAGGGATGGGGCTACCCAGTACAAAAGACCGCAGGCCATTCGGTCTAGCGGTTGCTGAGATATAAGCCTCTCAAAAGCGTTACAGGCCGGGCCGGGCCGGGCCGCTCATACTGAGATTTTTCCGTTATATTGAAAAGACTTCGCTTCGCTCGCTGTGCTCGCTCGCTCGTAATTAGCATGCTACTGAACAAATGGCAACAGTAGTGTGTAAGGTACTTAGATAGGCACAGAGTAAAAGCTCCATGAGAATGCAATTTTCATATATAATTTTTTTTTGGAATTACAAAGGCAGCTGTCATTGATTGTAACAGCCTCAAAATTAGGATATGTGCCCAACATAGCTTAGCAGTTAGCACAGTAAAGGGAGAGTGAGCTTCCTGGACTCATTTTGTTTAATGTTGTCACTCTGACTCCCACATGCTGCAATAGATCACTCTCCAGGCTCCAGACTGTTACCTTTAGGGACATTTGCTCATGTGCTCCTGAGCACTTTTTGCTTATGCCATTCAAAATGAAATTGTTAGGCCTGGGAAGGTAGCAGGTTTGTCTCGCTACACCTTGCCAATATCCAAGGTTTACTGGAATATTTGAATGCTGACATCTGTGATAAAACGATTTTCATGAATTTTGAGGGCATATCACTGAGTACTGACAATACCCTCTCCCTTACCATGAGATAGTTGGATGCAGCTGACAGCACAATTTTGTGGGCCATGATTTTGCCATATGGACAGGCCACTGTGCAGTCCAGCAGCATTTCGTTCTCCCACAGCTGCAGACATGACGCTCCCAGTCTGGTGCACAGCCAATCAGATGGAGTCATCAGTGTCTCCGTCACAGCAGCTGAAAAGGAAGGAACTTAGGCACCAGATGATTGACTGTGACAGCAGGGTTATAGCAGCCTGGGCAAAGAGATGAAAACAGTTGGGCAAACTAGACTTTTGGAATCAAAATATGGAGGCATCAATAATTTGATTCTGGTGGGAGGAGCCATGACCATATATGGGCATGGAATCAATATATTGATTCATTTGGGTACACTTTTGACTTCAAATGTATCGTTACGGTTGAAAAAAGGCCCATGACGGTGAGATTTTTCTTTAAAAAGGTAGAAAAATGTGGTAGGTTTGCAAAAAGTGTTACCTCAAAACTAAGAAATTGTCCCTTTGGCCTTGTGAATGGGAAAAAGACAGAGGCACTGTCCATCACGTAAAAGCTGTTTTGAGGAAATCACACTGTATGTTATTTTTGTATCATGAATCGCATACTAAACAATCAGTATTTGTGTAAAAAGGCAAAATGAAATTTTTAAAGCCCTTATTATCATTGTTGTAGTGCTTTTATATTTATTATATGGTTTTTACCTGTTGCTTCAGTTTTTGTATTCTTGACATTTAAAAATTGTTAATTGTTATCAAATGTAGTGAAGGTAAAGTACAACAATGCTATAGGTATCTGTTGTGGTGCTGAGGATACCACTAAATGAGAATAATAGCAAGATAAATGCTGTATTCTTGCAAGTCATTGTTGCCTATCTGTTAACATTACCTGTGAATCAAAATAATGATTAGTCAGCTGATGGGGAATCAATATTATGATTACCTGTTTAAAGTGAATCAATTCCTTGATTGCCTTTCACTACCTATAGAATTAAATTTGTTATGATAGGAGCAATATTATTTTGCTTAGGAGATACTTCCATCATTTCTGTTCAAGATCAGGCATGGTCCTTCTTGAAACACTCTCTTATTTTTATGTGTTTGGCAACTTAGAAATGGTCTGCATTTATGCCCAAATATGGTCATAAGGAATCAATCTTTTGATGCCTCTATATTTTGATTCCAAAGGTCTAGTTTGCCCAACTGAAAATGTTTGAGTTTTGACCTTTGAAGGCACCTCAAGCTTAAGCGGTGAGGCTCTTGCGTCAAATGTTTTGAATGATTGATAAACTTCATATATTCCCACTTATCTTTATTGGATACAGACAGGTTTGGAAACTAAGCAAGGTAAACTTGAACTAAGCAATGAATTGAAAAGGATGCACGATATACTCTTATATTACATGAAGGTACTAACCACTATTTAGGTTAGGTACCTAGGTATCTTCTTCCAACTCAACTCCATTGCGACGACACGACTCCCAGCGTTTTATATACCCTCTGCTACAGCCTACATACCTACATACCTTGAACTCCCAGCACAGCACGGCGACTATAAATACAGCACAGCACAGGTTTATATAGCCTTGCAGCACAGGAGCCTCGCACACAAAAACAAACAAACAAGCAAATCGAGATATAAATAAAACGGGGTCGACAATTGCGGCAGAAGGCGTCGTAATTTGTCGCTTTCATAATAAAATGCAGCCACTAAATCCTTGTGGTCTGCTTGCCTGCTGAACTTGCAAAATACCTACAGGCTACATGACGTAAAAATATCAGTCAATACCGAGGCCACTGGCCTATAGGTATCAGTGGCGGTCGCAGGGGGGGGGGGGCCATCAGGGCCATGGCCCCACCAAAGGCAAATCAGGGGGGGCCATCATATCATTTGGCCCCCCCCAAACAACCGATGGGCCCCCATGGCCGTATGGGGCCCTGGCCCGTATTCGATTGTCACGAGGCTCGAGAAACCCACGCCAGCTATTAACAGCTCCCATACCAGTCTTTGAGGGTCCTACACTGACCTCTGAGGGCCCTTCAGTGGCGGTCAAGCGTCCACATTGACCGCTGAGGACCCGTATTGACCTCTGAGGGCCCTCCACTGGCCTTTGAGGGCCCCTAAACCGGCCTCAGGGGCCCAACCGGCGTCTGAGAGCCTCACACCGGCCTCTGGTGGCCTCATTTCTGTCTCTCGAGTCCCAAGACTAGCCTTTAAGTGTCTCTGAGGGCCCCGCACTGGATTCTGTAGACCCGATGTCGAGCCAGCATCGGCCTCTGGGGGCCCATCTTGGCCTTTGAGGGCCCTCCGCTGGTCTGGGGTCCAACGCCGGCCCATGCCGGCCTTTTAGGGCCCCATATTGACCTCTAAGGGCCCATGCTGGCCTGTAAGGACCCACGTTAGCCTCTGAGGGCCCCCCGCACTGGATTCTGATGACCCAATGCCGACCTCTAAGGGCCCGCATCGGCCTAGTCTGAGGGCCCATCTTGACCTTTGAGGGCCCTCTTCTGGCCTCTGGGGTCCAACGCCGGCCCATGTCGGTCTTTTAGGGCCCCACCCTAACCTCTGAGGGCTCCATGCTGGCCTGTAAGGACCCATATTAGCCTCTGAGTGCCCGATTCGGTCTCTGATGGTCTCAAACTGCCCTTTGCAGGCCCTGTACTGGTCTCTGAGGGCTCTAAACTGACCCCTAAGAGCCCAAACCAACCTCTAAAGGTCCCACGACCCACACCGGCCTCTGATGGTCCCATTTCTGTCTCTGGGACCGAAACTGCCCTTATAAGCCTCTGAGGGCCCCGTACTGGCTTCCACGGGCGTAGGAACGTCATGAAAAGTGGGTGGGCCACCCTGTCAAGGGGCCTCCTTTTCCAGGGGGCCTCCTATTTTCAGGGGCCTCCAACTTTTGCCTCGTCCTGCTGGCTGCTTTCAAGTATGACCTCCAAATCTAGCTTCTGAGATCGGGCAGATGTACCTACCCAGGGGCGTAACCGCTTAAGAACAGTGCGGAACGTCCGCACCATTTTTAAAACTTATTCCCCCTCCGATTTTTTTTAGAATCTATTTGCCGCAAACGGCGCATGACCCCTGAAAACCACTGTGCCGCCGTCCACTGTGCGGAATGCTTGCGGTCCGTCCGGAATTTAGGTGGGCGCATCCGGTCCGTACGGAAATCGTGTGCGGAGCGCATCCATGTTGTGTGGACACATATCGCTGATAATTGGCGTAGTTATATTCAGTCCCGACTCGGAAGTCACGTTATGCAAGTCGCGCGTGACCTCCCTCGAGCTAAATTCGAAATAGGGTTATCAATCGACATCCGAAGTGGCTGTCGCGGCTGTCGCAGAGACGAAGTACCAAAGTACGACGTGTTGAACTTTGTGCGGAGAACGCAGACGGAATGGATGCGGACATGGCCCGTCGCCCATCTTCGAGTTTTCAATTGCAAATTTAAGATTGAATTTCAACTCTTTCAAGACAAAGTAAATTAATATTATTTCCTTGGCATGGCACCATCTTGTGATGCTAGGCAATGGCCATATTTTCTTTTTGTAACAACTGATATCGAGTGTGCGTGAGCTCTCCGTTTGCTGTCCGGATGCGGAGACATTCCTGGACGGAGACCGACGGAGACCGACTCCGGACGGAGACCGCATGCGCCCATAGGGGATTGAGGGACCTCCCAGACCGAAAGTTTTGGGGGTCTCCTGTGGCCAGTATGAATAGAAGGACCTCTCAGTCCATCAGTCTCATGGGCCTCTTCTGCCTGGTGTGATTATAAGGGGCTCTCAGGTCATCAGTCTCAGGGGCCTCCTCTGACTACAGTGTAGATGGATAGGCATCCCAGACCATCAGTCTCAGGGGCCTCTTCTGACTATTGAGGATAGAGGAGGAGTGAGGGTAGGGGCCTCGGCTAGACCGCCAGTGTTAGGGGCCTATTCTGACTAGTGTGGATGGAGGGGCCTCCCAGACCACTAGTCTCAGACCTCTGACTAGTGTGGATAGAGGGGCCTCCCAGACCGCCAGTGTCAGGGGCCTCCCCAGACCAGTGTGGATATTGGGGCCTACTCAGATCCACTAGGGCCTCTCAGGCCATCAGTCTCAGGGGCTTCGACTGACAAGTATGAACAGAGGGCCTCCTTGGATCCATCACGGCCCCTTGGAGTCCGTGCGTGGGGATTCGTGGAACTTATTTTTACCGAGTTTGTTTATTCTGGAAGGTGACGACGTCCTCTCAAATCGAGACGAGGGGCCTCGAGTAAAAAGTGGGTGGGCCAAAACACATGGTTGCCCCCCCCCCCACCTCGAAAAGTGGGTGGGCACTTGCCCACCTGGCCCCCCCCCCGTTCCTACGCCTATGCTGGCTTCTGAAGGATCGATGCCGGCTTCTGAGGACCCATACCGGTCTTAAAGTGCCTCATAGCGACACCTGAGGCCCCACACTAGCCTCTGAGGGGCCCACAAACTGGCCTATGAGGTCTCTACACCGGCCACTGATGGCCCTATTATGTTCTCTGGGGGGCTCAAGCCTTACCTTTGGGCGTCACGCACTTGCTTATGAAGGCCCACATCAGCCTCTGGGGCCCTACCTAGAACCCTTTGAGGCCCTTCGCTGACCCTTGTGTCCAACGCCGGCCTCTGGGGTCTGACACCGTACTCTAAGGGCCCCATTGCAGCCTCTAGGCGATAGGTATCGCCGAAGCGCTATCGATGGGCCCATAAGTGTAGGAACCATGGGTGCAGTGGGCGCAGTTGCACCAACAATAATTCTGCAGTGAGTGCACTTGTATTCTGCATCCACAATAATCTGTTAGGATATTTTGCCCACTATCCGTCTTTCGAAGCATTTGCTACTGTAATGGTCTTCAAAATTTGCATTTGTGCTCAAGCAAAAAAAAAAAAAAAAAAAGATTAAACGGAAGTCGGAACACATGTGATTGAACAGTGAACAGATACCGATGACCCACTGCTAAAAGTTTTAGCACGATGATCTTAAAAAATGGCAAAGTTTTTTTTGCAAAGAAAATGGCAAAGTTAGCCGCCTTTACTTTTGCGGTAGTCCATTCACAGTTGCGTGAATTATTGACATAATCAATGCTTAACCCGCGCACCGACGGGGGGGGGCGGATATCCGCCCCCCCTGAGGTTTTTCGCGAATAGCGGGAAAACCGCGGCGCGTAGCGCCGCGAAATTTGGTATGACTATTCCCTTATCAATTTTACACATGGTGTGCAAGTTTGAACCTCCTACCTTTCAAGGTCAGGTCACCAGGTCACTTTGAATGACCCAACCTCAAGTCACTTTTTTGCAACTTTGTCACCGTGCCAGAGCTACAGTAGATGTCGGAGGCCTTTGAAAGTCGCAGGATGTTATTAGGTCATTAGTAGCTACAATTTGTATATCTCGGAATTTTGATATCGGTGACCTAAGGTCAGGTCAATTTCGCGACCTCCCCATTATAAGTCAATGGGGGAAAAATCAACTCCCTGTTTTTACCACTAAAACGGGTCGGAATGGCCCCATATACCATACATGACTTCATATACGATCAACCTTCACTACCTTGAGGTCTGTTTTGCTGTTGGGCAGCTGTGAGGTCATGTGACGTCATCAAAGGTCACCAAAGGTTTTTGGCCAATAACTCCGTACAGGAACAAGATACAGACGCGTGGATGGTCTCATTGTGTTCAGCTCGTCAAGACGCATCGAATGATATACATGATGACCTCGAGGTCACGTGACCTGAGGTCAACCTTTGACCTTGACCTTTCGAGGTCAACATATATATCATTCGATGCGGATTGACGAGAGGATCACGATGATGCCCTTAGTTTGTTCCTATCTTGACTAATTCGAAAGTTATTCGAGAAAAACTCTCTCCATATCTAGCGCCGCCATTTTGACTTTTTCGACCCCTGTGACGTCATCTTTGACCTGACCTGAAAATGACCTTTGTAAAAATTGTAGATCTTGACCGTGCGTATCCGATGCCGTTTACCGCTTGTCGCTATCTTGCTTCGTTCTCGAGATCTCAGGGGGGGGGCGGTCATCCGCCCCCCCCCCCCCCGTCGGTACTAAGTTGGCGCAGACCCCCGTCGGTGCGCGGGTTAAAAATGCACTTTTCGGTACCTTTTCGACATGGTGCATCCTCAAAGCTCTCAATGAGCCTCCGCTCGGGTGCTGCTCCCTACCCCCCCCCCCGCTTCACCGGCCATGGCCTAGATTTCTGCACCCGTGCACTAAGCCCGTGGGCCCCTTTAAGCTAGCACCGGGCCCCCCGGGTCAGCGCAGGGGCCCCTTTGCCAAGTTGGCCCCCCCCCCAAACTCCAAGTCTGCGACCGCCCCTGATAGGTAGGTATAGTCTTTAGGCTATATAGGCTATATTTTATTTAGGCTTTTGTATAGCCTAGAATGCCTTATTTTTCAAGTATGCAGTTTCTGTCCTGTCACACCTCTCAGTTGGTGCAGGGCAGTGGACGCTACTAGTCTATATGTAAAGTCTCGCGGGTCTCAGCGGTAGGCTTTGCACCTATAGAAAATTTAGTGTACACTCGCCTAGACGCCTACTAAGTGATGTTTGCCCTCGTATTTGGAAATTCCGACCTCGACGAGCATGTGTGGTCGAAAACCACCACTTTAGGTACCTAC